ACATGCTAATTCCCAGCAGACAATGGACCATTAAGTAAATAGACACTAATCCTCCTCACATATCATCCCACCTAGAGGCTTTGCCTCAACAAAACAATTACATGCTAATCCTCTCAACCAAGGGTCACACAGTATATATATACCCCACACACCTCCATGCCACCATTCTCTGAAGATGCCAGTCACAGATGCAGATGAAACATCAGGAATATACTCTTCTAGAACACAGTCTAACAGCCTGAACCCCCCCCCCCCCAAAAAAAAACAACAACTATGGATTCTGGCCATGAAAGCCTTCTACCTCTGAATATTCTTTGCCTAAGAAAACCCCGTGGAATTCATGGGATCACCAAAGCTGACAGGCAATTTGAAGGCGTGTGCACACACATACATTTTGTGGCAGAGCCAGATTTTTTCCCTGAAATTAATCTGATGGTCACACCTGTTATAGGACTATGTTCTTGTAATCTTTTGATTTAACAACTTCATGGTTGTTGTAATATTAATCTTCAGGTGAGAAAACCCTATGAAATGCATGGGGTTGTGATGAATCAACAATTGACTTGAAGGCACACACACATATGCATAGAGTAGATACCACTCTATACACTCTTTAATTGAGGGATAGGAATTGTTCAGCCCTTCAGATTTGGATTTTTATTAACTCCCAGCTTGGCTATGCTGGCTTGTACTGCTGGGGGTATGCAATCCAAGAACATCTGGAGGGCCACACAGTACCCATCCTGGATTTAATCAGTTTAAAGCAAAACAAATGGTTGTTCTTTGGTTGCTTCTGTCTCTCCGTTGTTCCACTGGCAATGTTTCCAATTTATTCCCCTTAAAAGAATTAAGATCACCAATAAAAAAGTTATTTTGATGGCCTTCCCTGCACATAACAGGGCTACTCTGACTTTTTCTCTATCTACCATATCAGCCACTCCATGTGCTCCTTTGAGGATGCATTTTTGCATTTAAGTAGGTTATTGGGAAGATCCAAGGCTGCTCTGAAAGTACAAATCCTAAGATAGAAATATTCATCCCAGAGAGCTGGATGTTTGGGTAGATTTATTATATGGCAAAATTAATAACTGCTTCAAGGTTGCCCTTTTTTCCCTTAGCTCAGAAAGACCCACAGTTCCACAGTGGTCAGTCACTAATAGAAAGTACATGTTCCTTATGAAGGTCAGCTGAGGAAGAAGCATAGTTGCTGTTTGCAAAAGGAGCGGCAGAGCCCTCTGTAGAAGACACAAAACAGCAACCTAGCACTCTTGTGGATTAATGAGCTTTTATGCAGCAACTTCAAAAGGTTGAAAATTATGTGGCCATTTGCACTGCTTAATCATTGCACAGTGCACTTATTTCCTTTATGTTCCCTTCTCTTTGCTGTCTAACAGATTGCATGCAAAATGCTACACAAAATACCAGTGGTTTAAATGATTTGGATAAAACAGGGCAGTTTTTAAGTTTTAAAGACTTTTTTACTGCATTGTCTATCAGTCAAATATAGGACTTTATCACACACAGCTTTTAAATCATCATTAAGTTGAAAAATAGCACCTCTGGCAATACCATTCACACAGTGCTCTATTGGCATCATCACTATCTTGCTCTCAAAGTGTTGTGAGTTCACACCTTGTCATTGACAAAAAAAAGCCTGTCAATAAGCTCCTAAGCATGCCATTGTAGCATTAGTCCTTGGGTGCAATGGTTCTTTGCACAGTGGTTTCAGTATTGTGTAGTCACGTGGCATCAGTATCTCATTCTCTCTCCTCTCCCCTTCTCCTCACTATTCCAGAGCAGGCCTTTTTAAAAAATACTTTTCTCTTATTTTCTGTGTGCAATGGAAGAAATGATAGTCTTCTCCCCATGAGGAAGGACTCTCATTTCTTTTTGGCAGGTGCAGAGGGGTGCAGCCAGATTCTCCCCACCCCCACCTAAGAAGAAATGAGTCTTCTCCCTACAAGGAAGATCATTTCTTTTTTGGTGGCTGCAGAGGAGTGCAGCTGACTTTTCCCCACACCAGACCAAAAATAAATAAATAAATGATAGCATTCTCCTTGTGAAGAAGAACTCTCATTTCTTTTTTGGTGGGTGCAGAGGGGCACAGCTGGCTTTTCCCTGCCAAGAAGAAATTACAGTCTTCTCTCTTTGAGTAAGGACTCTAATTTCTTTCTTGTCAGGTGCAGAGAGGCAGAGCTGGCTTCTCCCTTCCCTCCATCATCAAACAAAACAAAACAAAAAATTGAAGGGTGTGCATGTACAGGATAGGCAGCATTATAGTAGCGGTGTGGAAATCAGATTGCATGGCCATGGATCACCAAAGCAGCACTAAAGCATTAATGCAGAGAATGTGTGATAAAGATTGATGCAAAACTGGCATGCTTCTGTTATTAAACTAGTGCAGTTATGTCAGGACATCAGGCACATATAATAACGTCTGTAGAGAGATGACCAGTGGTCATTCCAGTGTTGCCTTGTGAGAATATCACTCTCATGCTGTGGGGCTGCCACTGCATAGAAAGGCATTCAGTAGCTCCCCAGTGTTCAGAATACCTAACATTTAGTAGTAGCACGGTTGGCACTAAACAAACACTGAAGAAAGTTAATGCAGTGTGATCATCTCTTACAGGCTCTGAGTTCACTGTTGTCAGAAATAGATGCTTCTTTTGTCTCAAACAGTTAAGGTAAACTAGAGGTCTGCAGCCCAAATTTGTCTTGACTTTTTTGAATCAATATGCAAAATTCAATCCTCTACATCCTTAACATCTTCCAGCTACAAATGCCTCCAGGTCCCTTGGCTCTCCACTTCTTTCCCTGTCTTGTGTTTAGGTTCTTTGTGAGGATTCCACAGGCATCTTCTGCAGCAGTCACATGTTGAAATGATTGTGTGAATTCATCTTAAATATATGAATTTTAAAAAAATATTTTGTGGATACATTTAAAGTAGTGCACTTTTTTTTTTTTTTTGCTATCAAAGAGAAGTGTGAATGTGCTATCCAGCCAAAAAGCTAGGGAATTCACTGGTGCGTTCTACTCTGTCAGAGTTCTTGATATCAGCTGTATGACACTTAACTGATCTGCTTCAATGGTTTTAAATATTGTTGTTACCCGCCCTGATTGCTACGCAGAGGGGAGGGATATAAATAAAAAATTATTATTATTATTATTATTATTATTATCAGTGAATCTTATGTGCACTAATTTTACCTGGTTTGAGGCCACTATGTGCCCAGTTTGGCATAATTTCTGCTGAGGATTTTTTTTTTAACCCTTGTACATAGATGACACCAGTGCTCACTTCTCTTTGTATATTCTCTTGTTTTCATTAGCAGGATAGAATGATTTATTAGGGTAAGTCATGTGAAAGTATCCTTAGTTCACTTCTGCCAACCACAGGTACCTTCAGCCAGTTATGCCCAAGTTTGTAGCTACTGTCTATTTTGGGTGTTGTGTATCCCTGCAGTACCATGGATAAACAGAGTCAGCAGTTGTCCAATGTGGGGACACTTGCAAGTGTTATTTGGCAGAACTTGAATTGATTGACTGCTATTGGCAAGGAGTTATTTTTGGGAGGCAATGATAAGAACACCCTGTACTTCTATGATTTGGCTCTGCCTTGCAAGGTTATTATCCAGGAGTTTAATCAGACTGTCAAATGCGTAAAGACAGTGGCCAGCTTCTTAAGAAATGTCTTTTTATGATGTAAGCCATTTCAAGAACAGATGAAAGCGATAAGAAACAACAACAACAACAACAACAATGTGTTTCCCGATATGGGGTTCTTCACGGACTTTCTGAACTTCTTTTATACCAGTGTATCTGTGCCTTTAAATCAAATGTTCTCTTTTATCCAACCCTTATTCCTTCCTAAATCTCCAACAATAATACATAGTGGCAATACTGTATATATTTCTCCTCAAGTCTCTCAAAGCTCTTTAACCCACATATTTATACAAGAGCACTTCATGGGTGCTGCAGTGAAAATCCAATGATTCAAGAAAAGAAAGAAAGGAAATATATTAGATAGGGGGCCTTTTTAAATGATGTGCAGTCTATTTAATGTATAGAATCAGCCACGGGCAAAGCTTGTGAGAGGGCTGCAGGAAGAAAAACACTTGGCTGGCCTAAAGCCCATTGTATGTTTGGGCTCAGGGGAGGGTGACCCTCTAAGCCCACATCACCTGTTAAGGATGGATCTTTGTTACTGAATCTTAGCTCTCTTCTGAATAGTGGGTTATGAGATAGAAAGGGCCCTGGAAGAAGCAGAAGGGTTGCATAACCTAAAACTTGCTTTCAAACCTCTATGAGAAACACAAGTGTAGATAAATGTACACAGATCAAATCTGAAGGAAGAAATATTGGGACTGTTGTTGTTAGTTGCTATCAAGTCAACTTTGATGTTTGATGATCCTATGACTGGGAGCTTTATCACACATGGCTTTTAAACCACATTTCCCATGGGAAGGAAGCAGCATCAGCGATGATGATTGAATTATGCCACTTCCATCCCACAACTGCCCCATCCTTGCCCCATCCCTTTTCATTCACAGGGGAACTGTGAATGAATTGCCAATTGTCCAATGCCATACGTGCGAAAAGCCATTCCTGGGGCAATCATGCAATTGGTGTCATTGTCCCCTCCTCCCCCTTCCCTCTGCCCCCTCATTTTGTTTTAATTTTTTTCTGCGCAATTTTGGAGCTCTGCAGCTTTGAATTTTTAAAAATCATTTTAAAAAGCTTAAATCGGGGCTGCGGAGCTCTGTAATTGCATGAAAAAAGTTGAATTATAAACACTGAAGGCTTGCTGGCTAAGATATAAGGGAGGGAGGGCAGGTTTGAGCATGAGGACAGGAAAGGAATGCAATACCGGTGGCAGCAGCCCTAGTCACACAAATGGAAGAAGTGCGGTGGTGGCTGCTCTAAAATCGGTATTGAGCTATTTTATTTTGACTTGCAGGACTGCAGCGTAAAAGGGGCTGGTGTCATAATGCTCTCAGAGAGCCTGCATGGTGTAGTGGTTTGAGCACTAGACTATAACTCTGGAGATCAGGGATCAAATCCCTCAGTCATGGAAACCCACTGGATGACCTTGGGCAAGTCAAGCTCTCTCAGTCTCAGGGAAGGGCAATGGCAAACCCCCTATGAAAACCCTGTCATAGATTTGCCATAAGGTTTCTATAAATTGGAAATGACTTGTAGGCATGCAACAACAACAATGAAGAAGAGACCTCCAAGTCGTGCTGTTAGCAACAGAGCTACTGAGGTCTTGCAAACTCAGGGCTCTGGCTTCTTTGCTTGTGTCTTTGATTGGGATGAATGCCATGGAAATTCTGAAAACGAGTCATCAGAAGCACCTAGAGTGCTCTTGCCTGTACCAGCCTAAGTTTAGGATTCACAATCTGCTTCGCTGAGCACAAATCTTAGCAATTAGGCAATGACTTCAAAAAAGTGGGTCCAATCTTTTGAAATCCCCAAAGGGGAAATTCATGAAACCTGCTTTGCTTCAATTGCCCAATCAGTCACTGGATGAGAAGTGAATAAGCTGGAGGAAATAGAACAAAAAGTGTGACAAACACCTTGGATTACACAGTCATTGGTTTCATAAAGGACTTAGCAAGCACACATAGATTCCTGTTTCACAAATGGGGTTACATATCTCAAAAATGTCTTCAGTACAGTTAAGGGAGGAATGAAGTACTAGTAACCATAACAGACACTGGCTTGTTTTGACTGAAGGCTCTGTGTATAGTATGAAATTATTTTGTCTTTCCATGTTCTTATCATTTCTTTAGTATCTAGACAGAGGTAGCTATAGAGCTGTATCACGTGAAGTCCTGGCTTTTAGAAATACATGTGGGTTTGGTAAAACATAAATAGATCCCGTTTACAAGGCATCAAAAGATGGTAGTTTTCCTTTCTCTGTTCTTGAACTGAGGTAGTGTTTAATACTTGATTACTGGTTTGTGATTAATGTAACTGGTAAGAACAAAATAAAATCTTTTTCTTTTTCTGTTTTAGAGCTAGTAGTTTGGGGTAGCCAAGTGAGATATGTATTCCCAAAGCAGAGAAAAGTTCCTTTTGGAGATTACAGCCCCCAGAACTCTCCAGTTGGCATGGTCAGACAAGTAACTTTCCAAAGTCTACATATATGCACATATTCAAATGCCCATATAAATATATGCACATATACATATACTCAAATATAGGGCATCCAACCAAAGCTGATTGTCACCGCTTGGTTTATTTTCTCATTGAATACAATGAACCTTAAGTGTGCTTTAGTTTGGATGGATAGTTCCCTAAATATTTTATTCTCATACAAACAGCTTACAATTCAGCAATTAATTAGTTCAGCTACTTGATTTTTCCCTTGCATATTAATAACATTTTAGCAAAGTTGATGAAGGACAGACAGAACACTTGTTTCTGTATTGCCTTCATGGAGGTTATTAACACTTTGGTCATACATCATCTCTGAGTTTCAGTGTAAACCTTGGGGAACTTATCTTCCCAGCAGCACATGGTTCCTAATAGCCTGTCATACACTGACAGAAAATGATGCTCAGTTCTATCCATAGTTTTCAAATACATAGACTCTATGTATTTTATATATTCATTGTGGCCAAACTATATTGGCCAAACTATGTTGCTGATGAAGAGGTAAGAGAATCCATGGCTAAATGGAGTTGACCTTCAACAACTTTTGGCTGCTGTAAATCTACTATTCATGGATTATTAGCTATAGATATAGATACTATATTTGTATGCACATATTTTAGAGGAAATGTTTGTGTCCTGACATTTGAAAAAAAGAAGGCATTTTGTTGTCTTTCTCATGCAGTGTCTCTCACTTCCCCTAGTAAAAATCTGTTGCATCTTTTGCTCTCTCTTACTACCCAGTTTAACTTCCACAGGGCATCCCTGAACAAGACATCCTCAGTTAATATGCATTAACTATGGAGTTTATCACACGGAGGAAATCCCGTGCGGAAACGGGGCTTTAAATTAGAAAAAAATTGCAAGTTAGTTTTTCAGACGACGTCGCTATTAAAATGGGGTTAACCTGAATGGAAAGTAGTCAGAAACTGCTTCTTTTTACTTTTGGAAAATCCCGAAAGTCAAAAGAAGTAGTTTCTGACTACTTTCTGTTCGGGTTAACCCCATTTTAACTGCGATGTGTGTGAAAAACCAACCGCTTTTGCGGGTTTCCCCCACCTTTTAAATCCCGTTTCTGCACGGGATTTCCCCTGTGTGATAAACTCCTATGTAGGGGTCTTCTGCCAGAACCAGCTGCACTTGAGAGTAAAACCTCTCATGCCAGGGAATGACGTGTTGAGTAAATAAGGGATAAAAATCAATTCACTGTAAGTAAATGTCCTTGTGACACTTGATGTTTCTAATAACCTCTTAATATTTCTTTGCAATACAAATCAAACAGCAAGAGTGCTTTACAATCAGTACCTGTGGCATTCAACACTCCCTTTCTGGAATTACCAATTAAACTCTTCATTCTTTTTCTTCTTCTTTTTCTTTTCTTCTTCTTCAGACACTTGTCTGCTTCATAAATTGATGTAATGATGCATGATTTTTGGTGAATGTACTAGAGTTGTGTGTGTGTGTGTTTAAAGTTGATAAAATCTGTCAATTTCAAATTTTTGAAAATAGATTTTCATTCTAAACTTTGGATCTCACTATTCAAAATTTGAATGATTTAAACCCATTGGACAATCTCTATTGGACAGTTATTGGAATAAAAGTGTGGGGATGCTTTTTAACTGTTTGACTGCTCAATCCTGTTGCCCCCAAATCCCAGTCTCTTCCCC